CCCCAAAGTCAAAATGACAGTGAAAGCTAAATGTTCTGAACCAATTCAGAACACCGAGGCAGCCTTGAATGCTCACATAAAGATTCTAAAGATGACTGATGGTAGCTCTGTAAGATTATAATGGAGCTGAAAATTTCCAATCACCTAATGACATCACAGCCATGATGCGGTAGTAGTGAAATATTTTATGAGCTCATGATGATGCTGGTGGAGAGAAACCTGCACTTTAAGTTGTGTAACAGTTGTGTAATAGCACAGACAGTTACTAACAGTGCATAATACCTGACAATGAAAATAAATGACTATGTCATTGGCTCATGTATTTACTATACTATACTTTTTTATCATTATTTAGAATGCATCCCTTGCGCTTATTTTTTTTTTTAGAAAGGTAAACTGTAGAACAGCCTTAGAGAGTCCTTCAGGAGGGATTACAGAAGAAGGCATTGCTGTGATAGGCGATGACAGCTCCATGACTGCTAGTGTCCCTTAGACCTTCCAGTGGGACAGGATGTGGAGGAGGATAGTGACATTGACAATCCTGATCCGTGTAGGCCTAGGCTAATGTGTGTGTTTACATCTTCATTGTTAAAAAGTAGAAAATAAAAATTAAAAAATAGAAGTTTAAAACTAGAAAAAATCTAGAAAATAAGGATATTTCTTAAAATGTTGATAGAGGGCTTGCCTAGTATACATGAAGTCCTGTGTTCAATCACCAGTGCCACCAAGAGAGAGGGGGAAGGAGGGAAGGAAGGAAGGAAGGAAAAGGGAGGGAAGGAGAAAAGAAAATGTACAGCTACACAATATGGTTACATTTTAAGCTAAAACAGTCAAAAATTTCATCAGTTTATAAAGTAGAAAAGTGATAGTAAGCCCAAGTTAACTTATTAATGAAGAAAGAAATATATGTTTTATAAAAACAGTGCGGTTTAAGCCATGGTGTTTATTAAGTCCACAGCAGCACACGGAGACCTCAGGCCTTTGCAGCCACTCCCTGCTCACTTACTGACACACACAAAGCAGCTCGTAGTTCTGAAAACTCTGCTCAAGGTCTCTATACATTTCTTAATCTTTTGCAGCATATTTTTACTGTACCTTTTCTATGCTCAGACATTCTTTAACACGCAGATACTTGCCGTTGTGATGCAACTGCCTACAACATCCAGTACAGTAATGAGTGTTATAGGCTTGTACTGGGAGCAGGAGGCTACACCACACCGCGTAGGTGTGTCATAGGGTACTCTGCATAGGCCTCTGTACGTATACTCTGTGGTGTTTGTGGACAAACACAATTGCTTAATGATGCAATTCTTATGTCAGCAGGAACCACATGACTGTATGCGAAGAAAAGCAGGGAAAAAATTGGTCTCAGAGACCTTTCCTGACACACATCCATATTTATACTTATCCTTCCCCAGGGCCACATTCCAACAAGAAGAAACAGCTGGTGAAGGGGACAGAATGCATGCAGAGCTATCTAATTTAGACACATGTTTTTCTACTGAAGAGATTTATACAAAATTCTTCCACAGCCCAGTTGAGTACTCTAGGCATGAATACTATAGGCATGGGTACTACTTAAGGTGTGTAAAACATAGGCTTTCCCAAAGCATTTCCTATTTGGCTAGAAAAGTAAAATTAATATCCATAAAGGACTCACTTACCAAATTATCTATTAAAGTACTAAATTATATTATATAAAGCACACTCCAGAAGTTCAGAAAATATACAATTCACAACGTAGTTCAATATGTTATACATGCAGCATATCACACGATTTCACAACCTAGGAGTTTAGGAAATACACAGATTTGTCAATGGTGGAGAGGTTCAAAGAAGGAGAAGGTAAGATCTGCTATGTAGGTGGGCTGATCATAAGCATGTGGATGAAGATGATTCTCTTGATGATGGTGATGATTTTCTTAGCCTGAGCTATTGATGAAACACATACTGTGAGGTAGAAACCTATCATACATCATTTCCAACTCCTCCAGCAATGCTAAAAATTAGTATCATCCCTCTTTTATAGATAGGAAAACCAACACTCAGAGAAACCTAACCACTGGACCAAGGACACACTGATGGGGAGAGATGCAAGCAAGATATCTGCCTTGAGCTCCCACCTCCTTCCATAGCTAGTGTGAATGCTATGCAGACATATTCCAGAGTGGACAGCTTTCAGGGAAAAAAGTCTTCTCTGAGTATCTTTACTCGGCTTCTGAGAAATGTGTCCGTGTAACACAAGGGAAGTTCTCATGTTGCTTTTCCAAGCTCATGGCAAAAGCCCCATGAAAGGCATGCCTGGGATTTACCTTTCAGTTGTATCTTTGAAACAGCTGGAAAATATTTCAAAGGCTTAATGATTTTTCTGAATGTTCTTAAGCAGGTTTGCAAGGTCCGTTGGTTTCATTGAGCATTGTAATGCTTATTTATGTGCTTAGAGAAAGAACTTTCTCTTCGCCATAACAGGCACTTTCTTTTCTCTTTACCATAAGGAGGACTTCTTTCTATTCACAGAAGTCTGGATGTAAGGAAGGGATTTGTAGTACATAACCTGCATTTATCGGCATGGACTAGATGTGGAGTGTCTGCCATTTTTATTCTATTAAAACAGTCTCTTTAATTTACCCACCTGAGAAGTACATGTGAACAATGACCTGCATCAGAAGAACATGAGAAGTGATCATTTTGGTGGACCACCGTCCTGACTGATACCGAAAGCTATTTTAGGAAGTCGTAGCAGTTGCCCTCTGTTAGAGATTCATCATTATATCACCAAAATATTATCTAAATTACTAATTTTTCGCCCTTTTGAAGGGATGGATCCCTTTGAAAATTTGATGAAATTATCAATGTTCTCTCCTTCCCCAGCAATGGCACATGGACTGCACACTGGCACATTGATTCTACAGGCATTTGGGGGATGAAATACCGTCAACATCTTTGCCTAAAGCACTGTAAAGAACTTTTAAGAAAAGCTGTGAGGACACGTTAGCCTCAGCAGAGGAGAAATGTGAGGCCCAATCTGTAATGTCTTCCCTTGACAGCATGAGACAGGACTGGTGGCAGATAGACCTGAATCCACCATTTCTAAATTTTGTTGCAATTAATACAAGGAGTAAGCAAAGCATACAGTGAATTTTTAAATTCTAAAATCATGACATACAGTAAAAATACTTTCCAGTTAATCTTCCTAAAAATAATGCCCCTCACTTTGAACACATTCATCCTATCATTCTTGACCCATTCTTTCATGAGGGTCTTTTTACAAGGTGTGATGAAATATGGTGAATGCTGCTGCTGCTGAGCGTCATCCAGTGGAAAGGCGGGCTTATAAAACCATAGCAAAGTACCCTAATCCATTTTATTCAGCTTATCTAGCACCATGCAACTTCTGGCTCTGCTCCAAAGTCAAAACAATCCTAAAAGGTAAATGTTTTGGATTGGCTCAGGACATCAAGACATCCAGGACAGCATAACTAAAGACAGTCTGGAAAGAACACTTCCAGAACTGCTTCTAAAAGTGGAAAGAATGGTGAAAGAAGTGTGTTTGAAATAAATGGGAATTATTTTGAGGGGAATTAGGGCAATATATCTTTTACTATAATAAAGTTTTAAAATTTAAGTGTAAACTATGTTACTCAGTGTTCTGCATACGTTACTGCTTAATGGTCAGGCTCCTCACTGTAACCTAACTTCCACAGGAAAGCAGAGATTTACCCTGCCTGTTGTGCACACCAAAGCCTGCAACATTATCTAGAAGAAAAAGGGTACTCAGCAAACATAATGTAATGAACAAATGTGGCTCCCTGAGGTTAAAAAGCTAAAAAAAATGCACTGCCTTCTGTATAAATCAGTATCTATTTTTATTTATAATAAAACTACGTACAACTACATACTTAGTTTCAAGTGTTACAGTCTACGGGCATAATGCTGAAATTCATAGAATAAAATTGTGTTTGGTTTTTAGCAATTTTATTAATTTTAGTTATCCATTGTTTCCTCTTTATATTTTGGAGAATTTAGTCTGTTTTTTCATATTGAATGACTACCATTCTTTTAACTATTCAGTTTTATCAACTTCAAGGACAAGATACAGCCCATGAAAACAATTACAAAATAAAATGATGTGAATTTGAATTTTTAAAAGTCACCTTCTCCACGTTCCAGTCTGTACTTTATTAGTATTAAATATACTGATATAAATACTGAGCATTGAACTCAATATAAATAAGTTTGCATTATTAACAACAGCTAAGACAAGATGTAGAATTAAGTGCTTACAAACTGTTTTCTTAAATGGTTTAAACATGGTCTTTGCAACTTTCTCTGGTTTAAATTACTTCATAAACCATTTCCTCAAATATAGGACAGAGTCAATTTTAGTACTTGCTAAAATGTCACAGATTCTGGGTTGGAAGACTATGACTTAATGAAGTTGTGCTTTATTTTGTAATCTGCATTCCTTAATGTAATCAAAGGCAGAGCCTTAGCTTCTGTTTGTTTAATCTGGAGGAAAAACTAGCAATAGTGATGACAAACAGCACTTGATTGTTTGTGATGCAAAACGAAGTTACATCTCGAAATGATAGCCAATAAAATTCCAAAAATCCATGTGAGAACAAAATTTTGCACTGAGCATCAAGTATACATATTTAACATTCATAATTGCCACTCTGCACTCACTGCCAACATTTTCAAAATGTCTGGCTGATAAAGAAGCTGGCAGGGACCTAACAAGAACAGAAGCTACTGGTGGAAAGTAAAGCCTCTGAATTTGTTACTACTGAGTTTCTAGGCTGCTCGCCTCACGAGGCTCACGCCCTGAAATGAGTTGATTTTTCGACAGATCCACACAATTCTTCACACCACTCGTAGCTGTCGGCTCCTTCCTGTGCGTGTACATTCGTGCATATCATCACCCATGGCTGTCTTGTTCCCACATGTGCCATTAATTGGCGAGAGCGCTGCTCATAGTTGGCTGATCAAGATAGAGGCTGTGCAAAGGAACAGGATTAGAGACAGCCCAGGGTTTCCTTTTCAAGGAGGTTTAAAACATTTTTTTTTTCTCACTAACTTCCTTCCTGTTCTAACTGCCAGTCTCAGAAGTCAGAGTTGAGAGACAGCAGCACAGGACAGAGACGTGAAGCGCTGAATGTGAGTTCAAATGCCTCTGGGTTGGGGAAGAGAGAGGTGGGTCAGGGCGATGGGGGCGGTGGGGGGAGGATCTGAACCAGGCTACTGCCCTAGACACATTGTTCTCAGCGGACAGTTCTGTTTACAACAAACTCGGTGACCAGAAAGTGCTAAAGATGCTGCTGCAGAGAAGGGGAAGTTGGAGCAACGCCTCTGGGCAGCTGCTAGAGCAGGGAGGCGAAGAGGCTCTGCAGCCCAGGGAACGACCCGGATGTTCTGGAGAGGGCCCAAGAGCATACCTGGGGGGGGGGGGAGCTGCCTCCCGGTTGGGGGAGCCTGGCAGGGTTTCCTACCGGATAGGAGCAGGAGCAGGCATCTGGCCACCCTCAGAGATGGACCCAGAGACTGTAGGTCTAATTGATAAGGATCACGTTGGTGTGTGATCGTGTTGGGCTGTGCTGGAGTGGAAATGTGCGGTTTCCTGTTTTTAAGCAGGCTATTTAATGAGACCGGTTAAAAAGAGAAAAAAGAAGAGTTCAGAGTTGTCAAATACCAAACTGTTTTACACTAAAGAATTGTCTGGTGAGATAAGAGAAATGCACAATGAAGTCCTCCCTTCCAGCAGAAAGGGGCTTGGTTATCAAGGGAAAGTGCAGTGCAGGAGAACACACTGTCCTTTGCTTTTGTGTCCTTGCACTGATAGCATTTCTGCCATGAATAAAAAGAGAGTCTTAAATTCCTGTAGTGGGATGAGCAGGAACATATCCACTCTGGTGTTGAAAACAAAAAGAGCCCTTTTACACCTGAGAGAACTAAAAGCAAGCATGGAAAATACCAGAGAATTTCTTAAAGAGACAGATTCCAGAAGAAGCCAGATGGCGCCAGCTAGGGCACTGGTTCCTGAGTCTTCAAACTGCCAGTTCTGAAGTTTGGCCACCACTCGATATGCTTAGCTGTGACTGAAATACTTTCCTCCCTGTTAGAGGACTTCCCAGCCAGTATCTTTGGGACAGTCTGTGGTTGAAGTACAGTTCGTGGTATGGATCTGATCAGCCCCAGGCTTCATGCAAGGCAAGGAAGGAGACGACTGTCATATCTTCATGGAGACAAGAGCCATTATAGTCAGGGCTGACTCGTGCAATTCTCACTGCAGAAATAATCAAATAATCAAGGGTAATCAAGAGCTCAGTGGTTACGTGTTTGCTAGGGGTCCAGTTACCAGCGACAGGTGTCCGCCATTTCTTTTTGTTAAATTTCTAAGACAATGTCCCTCCTGATGCCAAATATAGCACAAATGTAGTAACAGGGTCATCTTATTCTTTTGTGAGATATGGACACTGCTGAGAGCACAATTCATTCCTCGTCCACATAGCACAGATCCAGCCTATGCAGGATAACTGTGTTATAGCTCGTGGACATCTTCCAGGCACTGGGATTGGGTCCTTCCTTGTTTTGTAGAGCATTAGTTTGTCCCTAAGGAAGTATACACTGAGCAACACCAAAGTTCTGAGTGTATTCACTGGAAACCCAATACAACTAGGTTATCCTAAGGAAAAGTTATAAGAACACAGTATATCACAACCTTTAGTGAGTAGGAAGAGAGAAGCCCTGGGGAGTAAAAACTAAGGAGATAAGAAAAAGAGAACCAGTCTTCCTCATCTGCCTTCTGTGTACCACGTCTGGTGTTAAAGACATATAGATTTTCATCTCAAGAAGACGGGAGGAGCATTAAGACTCAGTAGTGTTAAGTGGCCTGAAATCACTTACTGATACAAAAAGAAGTTGATAGCTACAATGTTCCAGAATGGCATTTTTTTTTCAAATGTCCCATGGAAGAAATTTTTTCTAGTTCCAAGTGGCTGGATTACTGCCCTTCTCCCCTGTTTTGGAGTCCACGGGGACATGTTGCTTCTAAAACTTCAACAACATTTATCTATTCAATAAGCACTTAGCGAGTAACCCTGTGTGGCATTAAACTCTGGTTTCCACTCTGGTTTCAGCCAGAGTTGGTAAAAATTCACTTGGGCCTCTTTTAAAAGTCTCATATTCTAAGGACAAGTGATCACCCAAGTTGCCTTTGACTTCTGTCTAACATTTTACTTCTAATTTAAAACTTCTGTGAATGTGTGGATTTGTTGACCCTTTGCATAGCGGTGGTTTCCATAATGCACAGCTTTCCTTAAGGATTGTTCAGTCTGTGAGTTACTTCACAAGATGAGTACTCATCAAAGCTCTTTGGTTCCACTGAGTTCTCTGTCCTTTTTCATGAAAACCCAGGTTCAAATAGCACACCATGAATGTAGAGGTAGGAAATGATGCAGTATTTTTCTAACAAAAGGAAATGTTAAAGAAATCTGCTTCTAGAAAATTGTACCTTCCTCTGGACTGACTATGATCTTTACTGTGTATTATAAAACATGCTCTTAGGCACAGGTTTGGTTCTTTTCACCCAGTTTTGAAATTTCAGCTGTTGAGGGGACCGAGTTGATAGAGAGCAGCCCTGAGGGGCAGAGGGAGTACCAACTCCTCGGTGTTGCTAGAAATGCCCAGAGAGCGGGAGGATTCCACAGTGGAGAGAACCCCCTTCTGGGGTTCTGAGAGATAAACCAGAGTCCCCAGGTGTGCCAATTCACCAGGAAGGCAGCAAAGCAGGCATGTTCTCATTAGCTCCAAAATGTCAACAGTCTTTTAGAGACGCCCAGTTTTTGAGGACCTGCTCTGGGTAAGCAGCCCCAGATTCAGAAAGTGGAACATAACCTAGTAGACAGGGTATAGAGAGAACAGGGTGCTGGAGAATGCTGAGGGCAGTACAGGGACTTTTCTGAGGGAGAGCCCCTCCCTCTGGTGCTTCCACATCTGTCTCTCTCTCCCTCCTCTCCTCTCTTCTATTCCATTGCCCTACCCTCCCTTCCCCTTTCCCCTCTGCTCCCTTTCTCCTTCTCTCCCCTCTTCTCTTTTCCTCTCCTCTACCCTCCCATCTTCTCTTTCTCTCCCTCTCCCCACATACTCTTCTCTACCTCTTGCTCTCTCTCCCTTTCCTTCCCTTCTCTCTACCTCTTGTACCTAATTCTTAAATCCTTGTGGCCTGTGTGTTTAGATGCATAATCCAGCACACCCCAGGGGATCTGGCTTGGAGACATGAGTTAAATCTCCCCTACATTCTATTCCACAGCCAGAGGGAAATCTCTCCATTAGCCGGTGTCAGTGCCCACTGACGTTTCTCATTATTCAGAGAGTGACCTCTGGTTTCAATTAACCAAGGGAATCATAAAAAGCATCTAAAATTAAGTTGTTTATGTGGAAGTTTTCAAAAGAAATATAATAGTGACAGTCCCATTTTAATCTTGATTCCTTTTATAAATAGTCTTTGCAATTCCCAGAACTTCTGGTCTCTTCCCTACTCCTCAAAGACACAGAGTCTGTTTTTGAGGCAGACGGATTGGATTTGTCCAGCTCCTATCCAAGAGAAAGCATTTGGTAGCTAGGAGGTCAGTAGCCTAACTCCACCAACGCTGGGCCATGAAAGAGGGGCAGGGAAGGCAGAAAAGAAACAAAGCATTGATTGAACCTTCACCATTGGCTGAATTTTTTCTTATGTTTTTTTCAACCCTTCAATGCCACAAGGAAGGATTTTTAGTCTCACTTTGCTGGTAGTAAAACTGAGGTTTAAGATGGCGAGCAACTTGCTTGAGTCCTGTAATAAAATAGGGAGCGTTTACATCATTGAACTAAGAAAGAATCTCAGAGGACTTCTCATGCAACGATTTCATTTGCTGTACATGAAATCGTGGCCCAGAGAGACTGAGCAAGGTGTCACAGGGACAAAGTTAAACCGAAACCATCCCGATGTGACACCTCCTTGCTTTGTTAAATCTAACCCTGCAAAGCTTAGGAACAAGCATCTATCCCTGCTTGTGCACCCCGAGAGAGATTCCTCAAATAACAAATGAGCTGTAATTTTCTCATGACTTTTTAAGAAAGACAATTGAAGGGTCAGAGTGCAGTGCCTGAAAGTCAGACTTCCTGTGCTCATTCATTCTACCCTTCCTGTAGCCTTCTTCTCCGACGGTTACATAAACTATGAAAGTTATGTAAAATGCGTAAGTTACGTAAACTGAGCTTCAGTGTCCTAAGCTTCAGTGTCCTGACCTGTGAGAAAAGGATGCTGCCCGCAGAAACCAATGAGAAAATCCTCAAAAATATAAGTTGTGCGGTGTGTGATGACTCCTGAAATTATTATCAAGAATAAAATGGTCCTTTGGATGATGGGATTGTTTTAAAACAACTTGTAGAATTTTCCTAAAGTTCCTATTCTCACTTCGACGAGCATCTATAAAAGGGAAGGGCAGAAAAGAGAAGTTTTATCTTGGTAGTTACATATACACACTTATTGTTTGAGAAATCATGATCAAACCCTATGCCGCCTAAGTCTAGGTGTTTGGGACAATCTGTTTCCCAGAGATCACTTGGGAAATTAAAAATCGCAATACAAGGGCTGGAGATTTAGCTCAATGGCACCTTGTCTGACTCCCAAGCACAAGGTCCTGAGTTCCATCCCCGGGTACCAACAAAAAATAAATAAATATTATGGTGCAGCACTTCATATTACTCCGCTGCACTCAGAACTTCTGCTGAAAGAATAGATTTAAGGGGTTCCTGCTACAAAAAATAAAGTAACTATAGGAAATAGATATGTTAATTTGCCTGATTATAGTAAACTTTCTACTGCCAATATATATATATATATATATGTATATATATATACATATATATGTATATATATATATAAAATCATGTTTTACTTTTAATT